GTAAAAAAGGGGGAGGGGGGCGCGCTGCCCCATGTTGCCCTACATAAATTTAGCATAAATTGTTTGTGCAAATTTTGATGACAATAACTGCCCTTTTTCCAATTTGAAGAACCGTACCGGTACCAATGAAAGAATTTAGCATTTTCTACTATAGTTTCTTGCTATTTAAAAAAATTTTCAATAGAAAAGTTATTTGCGTGCTTTGATTCCTTGCAGTGACGATGTCCTCATTACATTCAAACTTAACTACAAAAATGTCAATGCTATTATGGATAGTTATGGAAAAAAACAATACGTATATTGTAATTATTATAATAATACGCGTGCAATTATTTCCACTGTATGTTACATGATCCACTGGTCATTTTTTCAAAGACACGGTTATGTCAGCAGTTGATACCTGTGTACCTAGGATTACGCTTGGAGGAGTCAAAAAGTCCCAGTGGATGAACTGTACAGTTAAAGTTCAGCTAAAGACCAAGAAAGAAGCCTACAAGCGTTATTTACGAACTCGCAGCGATTCTGATTATAACCTGTATGCAAGAGCTCGAAATCAAGCTAAAGAAGTCTGTTGCACTGCAGTGAAAAACTTCGAAAAAAATATTGCTAAAAATGCAAAAAATAATCCGAAAGCCTTCTTTTTTGTACGCTAGTTCGAAGTGCAAGACAAACGACGGTATATCTGACTTGAAAGTAGACCAACGAAAGTTTTCCTCTGATGAGGGCACGGCTAACATTTTTAATCCTGTTCTTCAGCAGTGTGTTTAACAGATGAGGACTTGAACAATATTCCAGATATTGAGGAGCGCCCAGTAGGCTCGAAGTTAACATGCAGGTTTTGAAATACACGAAGAAGAGGTTCTCAAGCGCCTGGTAGCTCTAAATCCCAACAAGTCATGTGGACCAGATGGCTTCCATCCCAGCTTGCTCAAAGAATTAGCAACCGTTCTGGCCGGCCCATTGACAGTATTCTATTGTGTAAAAAAAACCTTGAACGAAGGAACATTGACATTGCCGTCCGATTGGAAAGAAGCTCAAGTAACACCATTGTTCAAAAAGGTGACAAAAGTTGCCCGGTATATATCGCCCTGTCAGTCTGACTAGTAGGGCAACATGGGGCAGCGCGCCCCCCCCCCCTTTTTAAACTAAATTTTTGATGAAGTTTTAATTGATACGAGGGGCTCTTTATTTTATTTAAATGTGCAACTAATGAGGAATGTATGATGTGAATGAGGCGCCTATAGAGTTATTCAATTTTTAATGAAACACTATTTTGTAAAAAGTGTCAAAATGGCCCCATTGCCCTACCCCTGGGGCAAAGGGCCCATGGGCTTGGGGCAAGGCGCCCACACTTGGTCCCTTTACCGCAATTGCATAATTTTCGTTCAAAAATGATAAAACAACACTTTACAGTTAAAAATAAGAAAAAATGTATTAAAAAATGTGACATTCATTCATTCATTAACAACTCAAAAAATCATATCCTTAACATGAAAAAAATACAATTGGCTTAAAAAAATCTATCACTGACGTGAGGAAAAATATTTCATTGACATAAAAATATATATCCTTGACTTGGAAAATATATCCTTGCGATTAAAAATTCGTCCTGACATGAAAAAATATATTCATGACTAGAAAAAATATATAGTTGATCAGAAAAAAACTTCGTTCCAGTTTTGCCCATAATCTAGATATTATGTGCAGTGAATTCGTACCTAATCGTGATTTCAGCTAACACCATAAAAACTCATCAACTCTTGGCTTATTGGTGTTGACTGAAATCAATTTTTGGCAAGGCGAGAGTCAATAACTCGATAAGGGGGTCATAATTACGCATAACTATAAACTAAACCTTCTGCCTTGAGGCGGCAAATCGAAAAATCATGCAATATGGAGTGTGCTTGTTAATTCAAAAGCTAGTCATAGTTTTGAAAAGGTCATTGAGACAAATCTAATGATGTATAACACAAGACTTCCCCATGGGCGCTTTGCCCCGTGACATGCGTGGGCCCGTTGCCCCCACTAGGTATCCTTTCAATTTATATCGTGTCAACATTTTATTTTAAAAGCGAATAGTCTAAACTTGATCTCAAAAGTATCCCTATAGATATTACTTTCAAAATATAATTCACAGTAATTTCAAAAGCTTCATCTACAGTAATCGATAACAGTTTTATTTTGCAGTAAAAAAAACCTTTATCTGGGCTGAAACAGTTATCCACAAATATCTTAATAACGCAAACACTTAGCAAAACGTAAATCCGTACACTTCATCCCAGTGAAACTGTCGACCGGCGGTAGAGAACACGGACCAAAATCTGCCATACTTAGCGAGAAACCCGCTATATGGGCCCATGACCCGCAGTGGGCACGCTGCCCCATGTTACCCTATTGTTTGTAAGGAAATGGAATCTGTGGAGGGATAGGATTATCGATCACTTAACTGTTCACCATCTCCTATCAAATTTTCAAAATGGCTTTATTGCCTATAGATCCTGCACTACGAACTTATTGTCTACGTTGAACGATTGGACTCTCCTTCTGGACGAAAGGGAGCCAGTGGATGCATTGTACCTCGATTTTGCCAGAGCATTTGACAGTGTTCCGCATGAGCGGCTGTTACGTAAAGTGAAGTCTTTGAGAATTGAGGAAAACGTACTCCAATGGATCAGACTTTCTAGTAGGTAGACGATAACGTGTCAGTATTAACGGAACCGTGCCAGACTGGGCATCAGTGCGCAGCGGCGTGCCACAAGAAAGCGTTCTTGGGCCTATTTTGTTCGTTGCTTTTATAAATGATCAGCCGGAAGTAGTGTCCAGCGTGTGCTCCATGTATGCCGACGACACAAAAGTTTATAATACGATGAAAGATGCGTCAAATAAAGCGCAATTGCAATATGATCTTGGCAGTTTAGTTAACTGGGCTGATACGTGGCAGCTGCGGTTCAATGCTGACAAGTTTACAGTACTTCACCTCGGGAAGAACAATGAACAGCACGATTACAGTATGAGAAGACATGGTTACAAAGAGAAAAAGTAATGATTGAAAAGTCTAGTGTGTGTAACCGGAAACACCGCCGCGAAGTTGAAATATTTATGGGTAGCATGCCGACTTGGTGTAGACTTTTGTACTGATCCTAAACACAAGGGCTAAAGCGTCGCTCTTTTGTCCGGCTCTAAATTCCCTTGCGTTGGAGAGAGGAGGAATGAACACAACGAACTTTTCGTAGTATACTGGCAATTTTTAGGCAAATTACAAGTTTCTTCATACGAGGTGCACAATTTATCATTCGTTTTAGTCCAAAAGATCACGGAAAAAGGCTTGAAACTTCAGGAGTACAAACAGCCGAGAAACCACACAGCATGAGCCCTAATACACAGTGAGAATAACAAAATGGATAGCAAATGATACGGGAACTAGCCGGACCGAAATGCTAACAACCTGCCGCAGAGACTAGGGGTTCTAGCCCTAATGCACCGCAAGAATCACACAAACGGACAGCAAATGGTAGAGGAACTAGCCTCACCGAGATAACAATCAGCCGCAGAGACTAGGGGTTCTAGCCCTAATGCACCGCAACGAATCAATAAAACGGACTACAAATGGTACGGAAACTAGCCGCACCGAGATTCCAAAGACTAGCCGCAGAGACTAGGGGTTCTAGCTCTAATACACTGCAACGAAGAAAAACGGACAGCAAATGGTACGGAAACTAACCGCGCCGAGATGCCAACAACGAACCTCAGAGACTACGGGTTCTAGCCCCTAATCCCCTAATACACTGCCAAATCACAAAAACGGACAGCAAATGGTACGGGAACTAACCGCACTGAGATGCCGACAACGAACCGCAGAGACTAGGGGTTTTAGCCCTAATACACTGCTAAATCACAAAAAACGGACAGCAAATGGTACGGGTACTAACCGCACCGAGATGCCGACAACGAACCGCAGAGACTAGGGGTTCTAGCCCTAATGCACAGCAAAATTCCCATTACTCTCGAGCGTGGAAGGTGTTAACTTCCACGACACAAGAGGCAAGAACGGTACCACAGAAGCTGTTCCAGGACGTTGTCATATATACTCGAGTGCAGAGGTTATAAGCCCCAACAACACGAGAAGTACTCGGCACGAGAACTGCCAGGTCGTGATGTCATTAGTGACCCTTACGTCACCTTCTGTGATGTCACTATTCGCGGGTCACCGAGTATATTAGTTGGTGAGCCGACTGCCAGTCAGTCTTTTAGTCTTAGAAGAGTCTTAGGCAGACAGCCTTCAGCTGCAGTCATGCAGTTAACTCTAGACGCGCTAACACCGTCCCGGCACTCATACCAACACGCAGTGTCGTAAAACTCTATCTACTGTATCCTGTAACGTCTACCTAATGTATCCTGTAAACCTCGAATATTTACGCTTAGATACACGACTTGTTATTATCCTTCCCTGGCCAATGAATATTTAATATGTTATTCGGATATTAATCAAACGAACCAAAACCCCTCAGGTTTTTCTACTATTGATTAGTAGATCAGACAGATACTCCAGATCTGACAGTGGCGCCCGAGTGCGTAATAAATTAAAATTGGCAGGGAAGTGAACTGAAGTGAAGTGCAGCGAAAATGTCTTCTTCTGAAAGTGTATCAAGAGCTGATAGGGAAGAAAGGAGAACATTATCTAATAGAAGATACACCAGCGCATGCTATAGAAGTCAAGTGAACTACAATGTTCCAGTGCTGGAAATGAGAGGAAGAACAGAGAACAAATATCACGAAAAGCTACATCAAGTATCAGCCGCGGCGACTTCATGTATCAGCAGCGGCGACTTCCTGATTGTACTTTTCAAGAGATCAAAACGACTTAATCCCAGAATCCTGGTAGAGGCGTCGAACAACATTGCAGAGAAGCTAGAACATCACATCAATGAGCGAAGCAACATCAACAGCACGAGTTGCTGCACGATGATAAGGCAAAGGCAAGGTCGTCATTTGTAACCGATAATTAAGTTAAGCCTATGCCATTCAGCGCCAGTTTCTTAAAGCTTATAGTAAAATATTAAGGTAAACTGCCTAATTTCCACTCTACCTTCAAGAAAATGTGTAAATAGTACTCAAACTTCGGCGAAAAATAACGCCCGCTGCTAATTGCTAAGTTACGGCTCAAAATTTTTTGCGTATTCAGTGACCACAATACGACCCGCAAAATCTATCATTAAAATCTACCTTTATGAAATCCAGGCCAATGAGTTCTATTTTTGAATGTCGCCCGTGCGGCGACGCCACGAATTAATGAAAGAATAGGGCAAAGGAGAACCGTCAAAGTGGTAAGACGTATGGTGTGTTTCGTTGCGTGAAATAATTTCATATAAGGATATCGTGAGTATAAATCATTGTAAATAGTATTAAAAATTTATTTTTTGGAAAATAAGATTATTTGTTTAACTTCATAAGAAATACGCGGGGTAGGATAAGAACATGGATTCTAATTCATCGGGTCTTATGTAGTTAGCAGACGTATTTGATAGTGAAGTGGCCGAAGGACTGAATCTGAAGGGAACTCAAGTGGGAGACATGATTAAGGAGCAGGAGCACTGTAGATGTCTGTAGGAGTTGGCACTGGTAAATCAATACAATCAGATGTAGATATGCTTGGAGTTGGAGCCTCAGTTGGAGGAGAGTTAGTTTTCAGTTATGAGGGAAATAAATGCAAGCTTATTGCCAGTGCCAGACTGCCAGTCATAGCCAGATTGAGTTTTGAGTCTTCCGTTGAGATGGAAAGTTTTGACTCTTCAGCTCAAAGACCTGATTTGTTGGATAGTGAGACTTGAGAGCCCATTGAGCCGTGAGGGACATGGGGGACAACCCCACATCCTCAATAAACAACAACATAGTGAGAGCCCAATGTGGCCATTGTCAAGCAGATCTGTGACAAGTTCAAGTTGGGCAAACGAGTGACGAGACTATCTTTGAAGTTTGAAGCTCAGCCTCAGGCTCTCAGCTGCCAGCTGGCAGTGTGGAATTCCAGAGGGGTAATATATTAACTGGTGAACATAGCAAAACGGAAAGCATGACCTAAAAATCTGGAATGGCCAGCACACCTCCACTTTCAGTCCATCATCATCACTGACAAGTGACAAGTTTCTGCAAGCTGCCACAGTTGTTTCATTGGAAAAAACAGAGCTTAGCTACATCAGTGGTTCCCAAACTTCTTCAGGCTGGCGCCCTCTTTGGCTCCCTAGTGAATTTCTAGCGCCCCCGGGCCCCCACAGACATACGCCTCTTTCTTGAAGTTTAGTACGCTGCAATTTTAAAAGAGAAAGGTTAAACACAAATGTGTATTTCAAAAATAGAACCCCATTTAGTGAACCAATATGTTTTTCAGCCGTTTTAACTGTTTCAGCAATAGAAACGTAGGACGTCTCGGGCGAATTTACGGCCGGACTTGTGGCCGGTCTCACAAACAATCTCCAAAATTCAATTGTCAAGTAGTATCTCCCAAACTAATGAACAAAGGCTAAAGAAGCTCTATGAAACTTGGAACATGTATTCATCACTCATCAGAACCTAACAGTGTTATTACGCTTGTAATTTTTTTTAAATGTCACTTTCATTCGTGAGTTTTGTGTATGTTGCGAAACAGGCCAAAATTCACAGTAATTGAAGAATTTCTTCCAAATTATTGAACAGATTGGAATGAAATTTTGAATATACATTTCTAACTACCAAACGGTGATTTTTAGCTCATAAATTTCTTTTTATTTTACCTTCGTCTATGAGTTTTTTTCCATTTCACCGTCATTCTTGATTTCACACTTCCTTATATTAGACCCAAATCGCCTGGTAATTTATCACTTTAATTTGCGGCGATCAAGAAATTTCTTCCAAACTACAGAACAAATTGCAATGAAACTTCGTATATAAATACCTGACCTCTCAACGGTGATGTTTAGCTCGTGACAATATTTTTTATTTTGCTTTCGTTCGCGAGTTGTACAGATATTGGAGGAACGACCGGCTTTTCTACCAGCCGGTTTAACCAAGAGCCATATAAAGCCGTATAACTGGCAAACAAAGGTTTGGCAGTTTGGAAAAAATTTCTTGATTATTGCAAATTTAAACACATATTGCTGTTTGAATCACGAATAAAGGAGAAATAAAAAAAATTTGCGAACGAAGGCGCAATCAAAAAATTTTTCACAAGCTAAACATTACCGTTAAGCAGTTAGGACTGCAAATTCAAAATTTCGTTTGAATCTGTTCAGCAGTTTGGAAGAAATTACTTGATCAGTTTGAATTTTAGCCCATATTGCCATACATATAATCAAATGGGGTAAGAAAGGATCGCAGCCTTCATGGGGTAAGAAAGGACCAGCCCATGGTGTGCATTCTAATTGCACTGAATTCAATTTGACAAAAAAAATATGTTAGAACAATCATTGCCTGTCATTTCAGTGTTTGTGGCAACCTTCTTCTGCAAATTATTAATTTCTGGCTAATTTTTAAAGAAAACCTATGTAAAGAAGGGTCGCAAAATAGTTAACCCTGTTTGGGTAATAAGCTCTGTTTAATGACAAAAAATGTTTTGGCCAGGTTCGTGGATGTAGGCAGGTAACCTCAAGTAATAGGCAACTTTTTAGACATACTAGGCATTCCTACCTGCTACCATCACTACCTGAAATGTATTCTAAAATGGGGTAAAAAAGGACCAGACATGGGGTAAGATGGGACCAATAAATGATCCTGTTTTACCACACAAGTGTTCCAATCTTACCCCACAAACAGTCCTGTCTTACCCCACAAATGGTCCTCTAATACCCTACAGTTTTTCAAAAATAGTTTTTAAATTAATATATTATTGTGTAGTAGCATAGCATAGCGATCTCGGCATCAGATGTTAGGCTTCCACAGCCTGTTGCCGATTCTGTTGTGCCTGGTACTCGTTTCTTGGTCCATAATGACTGCTGATCCTTTGATCAGCTCTAATAAAGGTGGGAAGCTCGTCTACACTGTAGACAAGGTCCCGCATTCACTACATGGAGTACATGGAGTATTTGTGTACATGGAGTATTTTGGTCAAAATTTTTATCTTTTGCTCAAACTTCATTATAACTTGTTAGCTTTTTTAATTAGAGAAATTTAGTGCACTATTTTAAATTGCTTCAAAGGGAAATAGAAAATAGGGATGTCTATTCCCATTAGTGAACTGCAGAACTATGTGCAAGATTGGCTGGGGGAAAAATCACTGTGTGAATCATGAAAAATAATTATGACCACAACTCTATGAGAGGGCATGAGCTATGTTTGAAGAAGTGCACCACAAATGCCAGTTAGCGAGAAAACACATGACATCTGACACTTAAGTTATTATCCTTTTTTTTATTAACAATTTGATAAATTTTTCAGACAATGACACTAATGGAATATACATGAAGCATTTAGCAGTGCCTACAATGAACCAAAGCCAACCCACTATTACTATGCTTAACAAAGTTTTCTCGTGACAAAAACTTCAATGTGACTGATATTAGAGTTGACTTCCCGCAACACAAAACAGTAACAAGGGTTGTTTAATCAAATAATGTGTTTCTAGATGGATAATATTGAATATCAGATTTGTACTTTTGTTAAAAACCTTGTAACATGAGAATTACCAGTTGGTCCTTTCTTACCCCAGCCTGGTCCCATCTTACCCCATTGGGCTCACTTTTTTTAATCTGTACAGAAAACTACGTTAGATGCAAAACGTCTGAGTTGTAGCTTAGAAGCCCATTGCATAACTACACCTTAGGATAGGTTTAGGGTTTTTTAGTTATTCATGGTAAAGATGCTACAGGCTTGTTAGTGATTTCGGTCCTGTCTTACCCCATCTGACTATAACTATGACAAAAACAAACAATAGCAAATTTTAAGCAATTTTCACAAGCTAAACATTATTGTTTGGTCCTAATGAATACATTTACTAAGTTTCATTGAGTTGAGTTCATTAGTTTGAGAGATATTCCTTGATCATTTAATTTGAAAATTGGGCGTGAGACCGGCCACGAGTCCGGCCGTTAATTTGTCCGAGACATAAATCCAGAAGAGGTTTAAAAAAACATCTGGGTGACAAAACCATCGCTGGGAGTCATGATGTGCTGCACGTGTTGTGTACAAATCATCAAACAAACATTCGAACTTCTGACTTCAACTTCGGACTACCGCCTCTCTATTGCCCCCCAAACGCTCTCTTCTTCCTTACCACCCCCCAAAATCTTTCCACCGCCCCTAGGGGGGGGGGGGGTATTGCCCACTTTGAGAACCACTGGCTTACATCATCACAGTAACAAGGATCCAATCAACGCTTGAACGAGTCTAACGTCACAGTCACATGAATCCAATCATCGCTAGAACGTGTGCAACGCCAGTCACAGGAATCCAATTACCATCAGAACGTGTGCAACGTCACAGTCACTGGAATCCAATCAGCGTTAGAAAGCTAGAATGGACCGCCCCAAATGCACACATTGTTAACGCACTAATGCTAATTTAATGTGTAATGCTACACTTCTTATTTCAAGCACCTAATACAATAATGTAGTTATGTCACTATTGATGAAAATTGCAAAGAATAACATCTTCACTTTGTACATTCACTCACAAATACATGAAAAACTGCCTATGATTTCATTGACAAATAAAAAACTGATCACTGATGAAATCAGCTGAGTCATGAAAACTACTCGCGATCAGGATTCAGGAATACCATCTGTACTGAAACAATAACAAAGGTGACATGTGACAGAGATACCAACAATATGATATCAATATACTCTGTGAAGAAATGAAATATTTGAATTCTTCTGTATTGTAAATTTTTAGTAACTGACATTCAACAGAATGGTTTAATAATGGTCATAAATGTTATACATGCATTGCATGTAGTATCAATCCTATGTAATGAAGCTGGCGGGAAAGCTTTTGGCTCAGCCTGGTTAGTTGACTTCGTTCTCATTATGCAACCGGAACAAGTGGATGTGGTAACTATGATGAAGATGAAGCTCCCACCCACGCTGACCAGTGGACACTTCAGTTTTATACTCCTTAGGTTTTATTCATACACTTCAACACTACTATTGAGTGAAAACTTTACGTGATATATTGTGAGCTGCCTAAAGTTCTAATAATGTATAAATTATGAGGTTCACATAATCTAAAGGTTTGAATGCTAAATTTTCCAAATACGCTACCGGTAGTCTAGTCAGTCAACTAAGTCAAGTGTCATGTCGATGTCGTTGTTGTGCATTGCCTATTCTTCGATAAGTTTCTCCGATTGCCGATGAGTTTA